CGATTACTTTCCATGGGCCACTATAGAAGCGAGTTGAAAGTTGAGTGACTCTGAGATTTCAACCAGCAGTAATTTTACTTGAAGGCCAGGGTCCAGCTCAAGCTTACTGAAAAAGTCCACCTCGCAGGTAGTGGTGCCTGGTCTACATCTGCGAAAGTCGCGACAATTCAACGTCTCAAAATCCCTCACTAAAGCGCTAGGCACCTACGAATCTGATCCGCCGACGCGCATTCGATCAGTGCCCGCCCACCGTTCGATACCGTATCTGCGTCGCAATGTTAATTTGCTACGGTCTTGGGCCCTTTCTACAGAGCACCTTATCTCTTGTTATCTCGTTGTCTGCTTCTCACAATCAGCCTTCTGCGCAGCGTAGAGCGAGAAGGTTCGCATTTTCTGCATTTTTAGATTTTAGATTTGCATTCTTGCAGATTTGTTTTCCTTTTCTCTTTGATGGAAAATCAATTCGCATCCCCACTTCCATAGTTCAGTAGCGTTATCTTGATGGTGATTCTTGTCTTTAAGTCGTACTAAAGAGGTTAGGGTTGAAGGTTGGCTTGGAAAGGATCATGATATCACGATTTTCTTGCTTTCTTAGAGTAGAATGAGCTCAGACTTCTGATCAGAAAGCACCAGGGGTGTTGTAGATGTTCAAAATGAGCTTCTTCTAACTACATGCATGGGATACAGAAAGAGTTTTTCTGAGATAGGTGGGCGTTTCCTTACTTACTAGGCCGCTTGTCAATAGCTAAGCTTGTTTCAACGATTACGACATGTTGCCGGATGTGTTCGTGGGAAGGAACTTTGCTTCCCGTGTGAATTATCGGCCAGTCGTACCACAAGTATCACTGCCTGAATTTGGATTAGGTTGTTCGTTTACCCATAGCCCTTCACTTTTTGAAGTTACTTTGAAAACTTAATTTTCTCTGAAAATCTGCCATAAGGTTTTCTTCAACGCCTCTCTTCTTGTATCCTCGGCATCAGTTGTTCTTGTCTGTACTTATTGTATGTACAGTCATTTTTGGCGCTGGCGCAATCTCGAGGCGTCCCCATAATGCCAAATGCAAAAATATGTATCACTACGGAGAAGCGTACCGTAAACTGATGTTTCACCGCTCTTCGGCCATTTACAGAACCGCAGAGGAAAAGTGGGCGCAACTGCAATTCACGGAACATCCTCTAGGACTAGCTCAGAAGGGGGCAGGAACTCTGGATGAAAACGACCCAGTATTCTGGATTCTCTCTGCACTCGCCTAAGGCCTAAGGCTTAGTTTTTAACAAAAAGAACATGTTCGGTTTCAAATGCCACCACAATGCCCCATATCTTGCGATAGCGCCGAAAAACATACCGCGATACTGCGTTCCATGCAACCGCCTTGTACCATGTACGAAACTGCTTTCAAGAATATCCCTGGTCTCCGATCCGGGTTAGCCCATTTCGGGATCGTCGGAATTCCTAGTAGGCTTAACCGTCGCGTTCGCACTGTTCCAAAAATTTTGCGACCCATCACCACCACCGTCAATCTTAGGAGGCTCTCCCAATACAACCACCCTACCGCGAACATCCACCTCGGTC